CAGCCACCAGCTGCCCCAGCCCATGGACTGGGCAATGGGGCCAGTGCCAAGCAGACACCAACCACTGGGTTCCATCACATGGAGGCTGAGCACTGACCAAGAGAAAGGGCATCTGTAATACCCCGAAATCAGAAAGGGACAAGAATGCCACGTACCAAAGTGACAGGAAAGTGGCTGTTGGGAAATGATTCCCCCAGCCTGGGCTCTGTGCACACTGTGGCCTCGCATACCAAACAGCTTCGCCTTTCCAGCACCTCACGATCCAACAATTTCAGCAATTTCTCTTAAAGCAGAGTTCTCCTGCCTGGAGCCTCAGCTCACCACATGGAATGCAGGAAAACGAAGGCACCTCCACTGCCGTCCCACAGCAATGATGCATCTGCTTTCTTCACTCGAGACAAAGTCTGGGGCGTCATTAAAGCGTGCTCATGTCCCACATTCAGAGGGACAAATATAGCCATAGGACATGAACAAGAACAAAGACTCATTTACCATTTTTCTTTCAGACCTACTTGTGGCAACACTCCCTCCCCCACGCCCCCTGCCAGCACCACACCACACTATGGGCACAGAACTGCAGCGCTCCCCACGTTGCAGGGCTTGTGAGCAGGACACCAAGTCCTCACAGCAGTTCTGGTGCTATTTCATTAACACGTGTCAACCACTCGAGTAGTCGGCTCACATTCGGCCAGAACTGTCACTGGCCTTTGTTTCTTTACCAGCCAACTCCCACCAACCACTCTGCAGCTCAGGGTTTTTCCACCTGCTCTTATCTCTCAGTAACTACTCCATTTTCTTCCCCCTCCCTGAGCTGACCCACAGTCAATGCCCGGATCCAGAGGAGACATTTCACATTATACTTCCCAAGGAATTCAGCAGAACACAGCCCTGTGCTTCTGCAAGGCTGCGTCTCATCGCACCAGTGCTAAGCATCAGTGTGCTCAAACCCAAGCTGTGTCTGCATCTCAGCAGCCCGGCTGCAATCCTGCAGCCCTTATCGGCCATAACTGGGCTAAAGGTCCCAGCTAAAGAAACCCACGAGCTGCCAGGTAGGCAAAGCACCATGCTGGAAGGACACTGCTGGGTCACACCTCTCAGGGGCTGCACGTCTGTCCTGCAGGTACACAACCAGAGAGCAACAGCTGAGGTTTACATGCACAGAAATGAGCAGTGGCGCAGCAAGAGCGAGTTCCCCTTGCATGCATCTACACCCCAAGCTCGCTTCTAGCCTTTCTCAGTGGACTGCACTGCGATGCCTGGTGAGCAGACACCAGTCACACAGGCACCAGCCTGCCTTACACCACTCCCAAGGCCCTGCAGCACCTGCCAGGAACTCATCTGCTGGATTACAAAGCATGCATCCGTGCCTTCCGCGCATCTGAGCCACTGAATGCACACCAACTCCTGTGCCTGCCACAGATTCGAAGGGTTTATCTACAGTGAAATCGTTGACCCACAGTTTTGCTCTTGCAGCACATTTCCCAAACACGTGGAAACAAGGCTCTCAAACCACACATTTCATAACTTGCAAGGAGCAACAGGTCTCAGCTCCCTGCAGAGCAGCGAACGAACGTCATCTTCCTTGCTCCGTGTTCCAAAAGGACGTTACCCACAGACATCTGAAGTTATTTAACGTGTTGTAACGCTAGCTGCAATCGCCTGCAGACTGCTCAGGACATCCAACTCAGTCCTCCAGGATCAGCCAGTAAAAGGTGGGTGGTTGGGAAGCTGTTGGCAAATGCTTTCAGCAGCAGGAAGGCGATCAGCTGGAATTTCAGACTGTAACACTGCTCCATTTGTTTGATTATGACCTCATATTGCTCAACCCTTAACAATTAATTACAAGGGCCTGGCTACAAGCCTCCAACTGCCCCAACAGGGTTCAGCACATCTTTATGGTTTGTGTCTTGTTTAAATGTGTACGGCTTCAGAGAGATAGTTTGGTCTAGATTACAGAACAGAGTTTTGCTCATTTTTAATCACAAGCAGGGTGCTGTGACTCACTAAGAACTCAGGTCACCTATTTCCAGATGACTGACAGTAGGAATGAGGTGAAAGCACTGCACAGGAATGGCCCTCTCAGTCCCGTACAGTTGCTCAGAGTTATGGCATGTTATGCACTGTAAAGAGCAGTCAAAAGATCAGAGAGTAAAACAGTTACAGAAATAAAGAGTCTAAACTAAAAATCAAGTGAAGAAATAAGATTGAATCTTTCTATCATATCAATTACAAACTTGAAGAGTACTTCTGTCACAGAACCACTTGCAACAGAGCTAACTGAGCAGGAACCAGGAGGGCACGGTGCTCCCCAGCAGCTGGAACAGCCCAAGGGTTATCCCAAAAAATAAAGCTGCTCAGAGGAGCCCAGAGCCAAGCAAGCTTTGCAGCAGCACAGTTATGGTCCTTCAGTACAGGTGAAAGCAGAACTTGAGTGGACAGAGCTTTGAGATTGCAGAGGAGATAATAAGCAAAGAACATTGTGATGAAAGCCAACATGAAGATTTCAGCAGTGAGATGGAGGAGCTGACACCCAGGCAGCAAGGGGCAGCCATCTGCATGGCTCCAAGAGACAACAGCATCTCAAGGCCAAGGAGGAGAGCCCAGTTACAGCAAAGGCACACAGACCGTTACGGCCGCAAAGAAACAAGGGTTATGTTTGCTCTGTTTCTTAACTCAGAGTCCCCCAGAAGGGGCTCAGCTCTGCGAAGGGGCTGCACTCCGTTGTCTCTATGCAGCAGGGATGAGTTGCACCAGGGCAGAGCTGCCCAGCCCACAGCAGCAGGGAAGCTCCAGACAGCACTCCAGGTCAGGGTCAGCAGGAAAACAATCACGTGAGCACATGCAGAAATACTTTGACTACACAGCCTTCAGCTACATCACATATATATCTCCAGATAAAAAGTAGAGAACAGTTCCGGTTCAACAACCCTTATTTCCATTAAACACATACTTCAGTTCCATAAATCTACACAGATATCTTCAGGACAACTTAGGAAGTAGTAAAATGAGCTCAACTGCTCCAGAGGCAGATGTAATTGAGCAGCAGAACGTCCCTTTATGCAGTAGGACAAGGAAGCCTGTAAAATGTTGTTCACATGGTTATCACTTTACTGCTCAAGCAAAGTGAGGTATGCGAATTGCTCTGTGCAACCAGCTCAAACAAGCGGTGCTCTGGAAGGCTCACTGCCCTGGCATCCTGTATTTGTAAAACAGCTTCAAGATAACAGCAGGAATTTAAAATAAAACCTCTCTGATGATATCAGCAAATTCCACCTCAAAAGGCAGGGATGTGTGGCTGCCTGCTCTGGCCATGCTGAAGGCCGCCCCTGGGGACGCAGGGATGTTCTGAGTGCTGCAGAGGGCTTTATCTCAGTAAGAACTCCGAGGTTCTGGAGGAGCCAAAACATTGCTCATTTTCCTTTCAAGCTGCAGCCCAAAACAATCACTGTTGCTGCAAGAACTTTTGGCCAACTGACACCAAGAGATCAGTAAAGCTTGTGGACAACATGGCATTACAAGGCAGGAGGGTTGCACCCACATCCAGCACACTGCACTGTGACACAGAAAGATACAAGGTACCTGAGCCACAGTCATTTACTACTCACAACCCATGTGATTTATGCTTAACTTGGCCTTCAAACACTGCGTTTTCACCCTGATCCTTAAACACTTTTCTTGAGTGTGACTTCACATTGCTGAGCGTCATTATTGGCTAAGGACAGAGAAGGAAAAAAGAATGCTTTTATTAATAGAACTCTCTGGGAAACAGGAAGTTTATTCAATCTTCCCTAAAAGATGACACAAGGCAGAGGTTTTCCAGCCAGCTCTCCAAGGGCTGCTCTCAGGAATCAAACTGGAGTTCTGAACTCTGCATCCTCGTTCTTAACAAATGCTAATTGTCACATTGCTGAAGGGAACCCTGCAATACCAGCAGTGCCCCATCAGCTCTCTTTATCCAACCAGCTGCTTCCTGCACAGCTGAACAGTGAGCAGAGGAAGCAAAGGGCTGAGGAACAATCCCGATGGCTGAGGGCTCACAGAAGCAGCACTGCCGTCCACAGTGCTTCCCCTGCACAGAGCAGCTCCAGACCCTGCAGAACGCTTCTTCTCTGCTGCTCCTGCAGCACAGCAAGCAGAGCAGCTTTGCTGGAAAGCAAGAAAGCATTTTGTTTTGCAGAGCATCCTCCCAGCCTGGAAAACTTCAGGCTGTATTGGATAACAGGCTCAGAAAGAAGAGGGAATGCCAAGTGAGATGGGTGGGCATCAGCACAGGATGTTCTAGCAAGTGAGAGCCTGCTGCCAGAACTAAGGGATCAGGCACCCATGGGTGGCAGCAAGTCAGCATCTCACGGGCACGCAGAGGTGATTGATGGGGCACAGTCAGGTCCTGTTACCAAAGCGCACACTGTAGAAAATCACCATGGCACTGATGTTATTTTTAGAAGCAGCACAACTAAATCACTCACACGATGCTCACGCTGCCAAAGTGTTCCGGAGGAAGATGCCAACCAAGAAGCACTATTAGAAAACAAGGCTTCGGAGAGCCAAAGTTGGAAAGGCAGCGGCGACTTCGGGATGGGTGGATGCACACAGAGGGGCTGAAAGGAGGTACGCTGTCCCGGTTCTGGGAGCAGTGACAGCTGTCACTTGGGTCAGCTCTCAGGGACTCAGCAGTGCCCTCCGCCCTCCTGCAGGAAGGATGTGCTGTGCAGTGCCAAACCCCGGCCGCAGCCACGCGTACCGACAGCGCTCGGCTTTCGTCCGGCCCTGCGCCCGAGGCACCGCGCAGCAACGAGCCGCACACGAGGGCAGGCGCAGCGCCGACCCACGCTGCTCGTGCCGAACCCCGAAGCTCGGAGCCCAACACGCACAGCGCCGCACGGCACCAACGCTCTCGGCCCTCCCCAGGTGAGGCAGAACGCCGTCGCAAGCCCCGGCCGGCCGAGGTCCGGGAGCAGCGTTACCCCCCCCGCCGCTTCAGCCCCGGCGCCGCCGCTCACCAGCAGGTCCAGCTCGGTGCGGTGCAGCCCGAGGCGGCCCAGCCCCACGGCCAGGTCGTGGATGCAGAGCGCGCCGTCGCGGTTCACGTCCAACTTCTGGAACAGGGCGCGGAGCCGCCGATCCTGCTCGGAAGCCTCGCACACCGCTCTTCCGCAGGACCCGCCGCCGCCGCTCCCTTCGGCGCCAGGACCGGGCGTGGCGGCGGCCCGCGGGGAGCCACAGGGGCACAGCACGCCGCTCACCACCGGGGAAGCCAACGAGCGCCGCGCCCCCGGCATGATCCCGCCGGCCGCCCGCTCCTCACGCCCGCCGCCGGCAAATGGCGACGCTTCCGCCACCGGCGCCGCGAGGAACCGACGCGGACCGCTTCCGCCTTCGCGCCACACGGCGCCGCCGCCACGTGACGCCCCCCGCCGACCAATGGGAGCGGCCCCCGCCGGCCAACGCGCCACCGCCCACAGCCCGGCCTCCACGCGCACCCGGCGAGTGGGCGGGTGACGTCATACAGACGCCTTCCCCTCCACCAATCGGAACGCAGCGCCGCCGCGGCCGGAAAAAGGCGGTACAAGATCCTAGGGCAGGACGCCATTGGCTAAACGTTGAGGCGTAACCGAGGGTAAAGGCACAACCGCTCCAATCAGATTGGGAGCCAGGGCCTCATTTGGATCTTGATGGACGTGGCATGCATCCAGTAGCTTCCAGAGGAGGGCGAGTTCTGTGTTGATGGACGGGAAAAGTACCCAATGAAATTAAAGCAGGGAAATAGGCGGGCGGGCCCAGCCTCTCGCCGGACTCACGCAGGCCCAGTGGCCCGAGGCAAACGGTGAGGCGGGGCCGGCTATAGTCCCTCGCGATGGACAGCGCGACTGGCCAATGACAGCGCAGCCCTCCCCGCGGAGGGCCAGACTTTCACCTGACAGGCAGGCGGGCGGCCCAATCAGACGAGGAAGGAAAGGGGGCTGATTCTGGAAGCCATTACGCCAGTGTCGCAGGGTGGAGGCCGTTGAGCGGGGCTTGCTGGGTGGCTGCGGTACGCAATTTGCGTACCGTTGGCGGTGCCAAGGGGGGGAGCGGGGAGGGAGCGACACCTCCGGGCCCCGAGGGGCCTCGGGCCCCCCCCCGCTCCTCCCCGGCCCGGGGCGAGCGGGCCCGGGGGGCCCCGCGGGAGTCCGGGCAGGGCCGAGGGGCGGCAGCGGGGCCCCCCGGGCCCTCAGGAGACCTTTGAGTACCACCTCCCCCGCTTCCTCTCAGGGCCATGGCGTCGCCCCCGGCTCCCCCGGCCAAGAAGCGGAAGATGAACTTCTCGGAGCGGGAGGTGGAGATCATCGTGGAGGAGCTGGAGCGCGGCAAGCACCTCCTCATCAACCACTTCAACGCGGGCGTACCGCTGGCCGCCAAGGCCGCCGCCTGGCACGACATCCTCCGGCGCGTCAACGCCGTCGCCACCTGCCACCGCGAGCTGCCCGAAGTGAAGAAGAAATGGTCCGACCTCAAGACCGAGGTGCGGCGCAAAGTGGCCCAAGTGCGAGCCGCCATGGAAGGGGGGAGCGAGAGCCAGAACGGTGGCGGTGCCGGGACGGAGGGCGAGGACCCAAGCGGTGCCACGGCTGCTCCCGTCATCCTCACCCCCATGCAACAGCGCATCTGCAACCTGCTGGGAGAGGCCACCATCATCAGCTTGCCCAGCGGGGACTGCGGGGCGGCCGATGGGACCGAGATCCCCATCACCGCCTCCACCACCACCGTCACGCTGACCCAGAGTGAGTGCTGCGCCCAGTGAAGATGCTCTGTTCCGGATTGATGGCCCAGTGGGAGGCCTGGCATCCTCCTGTGATCCCTCTGCAGGGAGCTCCTGTCAAAACAAAGCGCCCTTCTGTCGTGAAAACACATTTGTGCTGTAGGGGAGCATCTAGGAGATGTGTGTGAAAGTCAGCTTTGACAGCTGGGGTCAGCCTTAAAACAAGGAAAGCAAGGAGCCTTTGGTCCCTTTCTCTGGGGAACTAAAGTAAAAGGGAGGAATATCTCCAGAGCTGATTTCCTTATCTGTCCCAAATGGGCCATCCTGGTGATAAGTGCCATTCGAGGCCTTCTCTTTGCCCTTGTGTCAGTTGGTTAGTGGTGCTCTAAACTAGAGGTTGGAAAGAGATTTTGTCTAGACAGATATGGCGCACCCTGCTCCTTTGGACCTTGCTCTGTACATCCGAGAAGGAAACTTGGATGAGGGTGGAGTAACTTAAGTTATTTTGTGCGTTCACTGTTTATTGTATGTTATCTCACAGAACAGGCAGTATTCCTGTTACATTCCTTGAATAGTCCTGTAGATAAAAACAACCAGTGTTGCAGCTACTCCTTACCCCTTTTCTGTCCTTTGTTCTCAGTTCCTGCAGAGACAACTTACCACAGTCTGGAGGATGGGGTCGTGGAGTACTGCACAACAGAAGCCCCCGCCACCGTTACTGCCGAAGCACCCTTGGAGATGATGGCACATCAACACGAAGTATCTGCAAAACCCCAGGAGCTGAAAAGCCGCATTGCTCTGAACTCAGCAAAGCTCCTGCAGGAGCAGCGAGTGACCAACTTGCACGTGAAGGAGATCGCCCAGCACCTGGAGCAGCAGAATGACTTGCTTCAGATGATCCGTCGCTCTCAGGAGGTGCAGGCATGTGCGCAGGAGCGCCAGGCTCAAGCCATGGAAGGAACACAGGCTGCACTGAGTGCCCTCATCCAGGTCCTCCGCCCCATGATTAAGGACTTCCGTCGATTTTTGCAGAGCAATACACCCAGTCCTTCGGTGGCCGCTGACCCCGGCCAGACTGGGCAGCAAGATGGCATTATCCAGTGAAAGAAACAGCAGTGGGACTTCTTTATTGGTAAAAAATCTGCCCCTGCTGCCATTGGACACGGAGTAAGGGGTGCTGGCTCTTGTCAATGTGAAATGGCTGGCCTTGGAGCCTTGCTGAGCCCCAATGGCTTTCTTCTCTGCTAATCTTATGCTAATCTGCCTTTTCAGACCCATCCTACAGAGCAGAAGCAGGAGATTTAATAAACAAGGAACCTAACCTCGGTTGCTTTAGTTCCTCAGAAAAATAGATTTGTTTAAAAAAAAAAAAAGGGAGAGAAAAAAAGACAATTATTTTTTTATCTGTTTGAAAAGCTCTTCTGGGTATGACACTTCTTTCTTCCTCTGCCTTGATCTATAGCCTTTAACTGACTTCAAACACGGACAGTCTTGCTATTAAGACACAGCAATGAGGCTGCCAAGGTACAGTTATCATAAGCTGCAGTGTCTGGTAGTGAATGCATTTCTGTCTCTTGATGAAAGTGTTTACTGGAAACGTGGTATCAGAGGTGGTACAACCTTTCTGTGCACTGAGAGCTTGTGGATACTGCTCTTGGAGCATGAAGTTCACCCGCACAGACTAGCACTAAGCCTACTATATGCAGTTCAAATCCCACCCATATCCCCCAAGGATATAAATGGGATTAAAATAGTGTATTCACCTCATGTTCTGTGTGTGTGCAGTCATGAAATTCAACTTTAAACTCAGCAGATGTGATGAAAATGTCATGCCTTGGTTACCAGATACTGTCCTGGGATACGTACTGGGAGCAATTACCTGTCCCAGTGTGTTTAATGCACAAAGACACATAAAAATTAATTCAGGTGGGTTTACAGGCATAACACCTGTGTCTCATAACGCACAGTTTGCCAGCTTTGTCATAGCTCAGCCTCTCCAAGTGGACCTGGTCTGGAGAGCTTCAGCCACACAGCAGTTCCCAGCAGACGACGTTTAGGAGGTTGGCAGCATTGATTGGAGTGAGTGAGTTCTGGACCGTCAGCTGGTTCTGGTGGTGGTATCTGTGCTGTACTTTTTAGGAGCCAGAAGCAAATACAGCAGTTCTTTGTTGGTCTGCTAGCTGGCTTTGACTGGGATTCTGAGAAATGGCTCTGAGGTTCACCTCACTTACGTTCTCACATTTAAACAGGGCTAAGTAGCATTTGCAGCCCCTGATCTCACTGAGGTGTTGGCGCTGTTGGGTTTGGTCCTCTCTGAGACAGCTCCGTTTCACAGGATGGTGAGTGTGATTCTTGCAGACTTGGAGCAGCTTCATAAGCTTTCAGATGACAAGCTCCACTTGTAGGTGCATGGAAGCTAACTTCAAAAAAAAAAAAGTATAAGTCTTCCCCATACCTTTCACATTTAATAGGCTTGTTGCTTGCCAGATACTGCTTTTGAAGCCAAACTTTCTCAGAGTTGATGTTCTCTCACTGTTAAGTCTCCTTTTGGGCTGAGAAGTGTGAGCAAAGACTGAATTTGCACAATCACATGAAACCCTTACATATTTTATGGCAGGATGCTGCTGGAGGACCCCCAGTTAGAGCAGTGGGTGAACATTCTGCTGCCTACCTCTGCCCTTCAGTAATCTCCTCTCTTCTGGAGGCTGATGGGTGAGAAAACAGCTTTAGAACTCTGGCCCTGGAAGCTCTGACCCTTTGACACAGACGTCTTGGTGCTGAGTCAGGGCAGCAGCAGCTGCTCCTTCCCACCTTGTTGGGCATCCAGCCATGTGAGTAACGCTCTCCTGATTCTTTCTCTCAGACTTTATGGAGTCAAATCAACTGCTCAATTGAAAAGTATTTTTAAAGCAGAAAACTATGTCATGAATGTTGTTTTACCTCGTTTGTGTAATGATCTCTCCTTTACAAATAAGATTTTTAATTAAAAAAAAAATACGTTTTTTGGTAAACAGTCTCTTCCAGTTTATCAGCACGTTCCAGCAGAAGAGAGTTTGTGAAAACAAGTTGGCAACACAGAGGACTCAGTCAGAAAAGGTCAAAGAAAGCTGCAAGCAGCCGCATGTGTTGGTTTTTTCCTTGTTCATGAAATTTGTGGCCCTGCAGTTACACAATTGCCTTTTTTCCCTTTTTATTTTTCCCAGTAACATCTTTGCAGCCTTCCCCTGGCCCACTAGTTAGTTCATTGCATCTGACAGATCACCACAGCATGTTAACCTCCCAGCTGCTCCGAACACGCTGCAATAGCCCAAAATGATGGATGAAACACCAGCCTTGGGATTTAAATTGCTGTGTTCATTTTTGCAGTGACTAAGCACTTAAGCTGTCACTGTTCCTTAGGAGTAAACGCGTTGCCCTCAGAACCACCCATTTTTTCGCGTGTTTTCAGGACAAATATAGATCTTAGTCAAGCCAGTAGCATTCAGGAGCGAGTTGCACGTGCACATTTTTGTCTCATTAAAAAGATGTAGCAACTTTTTAAATGAGTCGTGTGGTTAGGGGCTTGGTTATTGCTCATGACGAGGTCATCAAACTTGGGGAGGAAGAGAGAAAATACGTCACTTACAGTCAAAACCAGGAAGATCAGGTAAACAGGGCACTGACATGCCTGGAACTTGTGCCCAAAGCTGAACAAAAAGCAAGGAACGGCATCTCACAGATGTTTATTTGTACCTGGGGATTTATGATCACCATCCAGAGCTGGAAGGAGCTGCGCAGGGATGTCCTGCCACAGGGCTCCTCAGAGGGGAGAGTGAGTGTGCTTTGTACTTCTTGCTGCTGGAGAAAGAGTT